ATACCACGGCTGTTCTACTTGTGCTCTCATCTATAACGTAGGTAGAGGGGAGCATTCAGTTAAGGGTTTCATTTTCTGGACTACAGCACTGCCCTAAGCTATTAGACAGATGCCCCATTCCACCCCGGAGGCGGCTTCAGTTCACTGGTGGGTGAGGAGATTCCTGTGTGCGTATGTCCATTTCCTTAAATCTGCAATCTGGGCCAATCATTTCTAGAGTGCTTTGGGATCTTTCTGGCTGAAGAGAGCTGTAGGATGTAAAGGTAGCTTATTTATGCATGCACAATTCTGCACATATTTGTGCAAGCATTGGTGTTTGCATCTGCAGAGTGCAGGCACATGCACATTAAGCTGTCTAATGCCTGTGCATGCACAGGCATTAGAATTTGTATTGAAGCAATGAAAGATATTTAAAAGTGCATATGCAAGTGTGGGGGGGCAGGGGGAGAGGGAGTGGATAGGGAGAGGCCTACCTGGAAAGTTTATTCCTGTCCTATATTAATCACTCAACAAAGCATGGGGATTACTGAAATGCAAAGCCCTCATTCTATTTGTTATCAATAATGTCCCTCAGCAGCAGTGCCAGGAGATTCCTAGGATAACACTCCTATTGCCAGCAATGAAACCAAGTGCTTTTTGCCTTTCAAACTCTGTAGTAAAGTAGAACCTCAGTTACAAACTGACTGGTCAACCACACACCTCATTTGGAACAGGACGTACGCAATCAGGGAACAACAAAGATGGGGGGAAAAAACAAACAGTACTTTGTTAAACTACTAAAACAGTTAAGGGAAAGTTTAAAAAAAGATTTGCAAGGTAAGGAAACTGTTTCTGTGCTTGTTTCATTTAAATTAAGATGGTTAAAAGTAGCATTTTTCTTCAGCATAGTAAAGTTTCAAAGCTGTATTAAGACAATGTTCAGTTGTAAACTTTTGAAAAAACGACCGTAATGTTTTGTTCAGAGTTATGAACATTTCAGGATTACAAACAACCTCCATTCCCGCTGTGTTTGTAACTGAGGCTCTACTGCAGATATATAGAGGTAGAGAACAGTAGCACTGACTCAGTAAGGTATTTAAGCACATGCCTAACTTTAAGCAGGTGAGCAGTAGAAATGTGAAAAGTTAGGCATGAAGAATCCAAAGCCATTAAGAATAAAAGCTTTTCCTCAAGAATGATTCACACTAATGCTTTGCTTTAACACAATGCACGCTTCAAGCATGGTCAGCCAATATTTAAGCTCATGTCTACATGAGACAAATGTACGTCTCTTGTTGAGAAGTCAGGCAACATAACTTGTGGTGACAACAAAGCTGCTTCATTGCCAAAGATGAGAGGTGAGAGCAAAAACAACCAAAGAATTTAAAAAGGATTCCCAAAAGTACAAGTGTGTTATAAAATCTCTGAACCATTCAAGAACGCACCTAGTCGCTGGGCTAGAGAATTTGAGGTGGTGTCAGAGGCATCTCCCAGGAGTGATGTAGACACTGGAATTGAGTCCTGAAAAGAAAGCAAAGAATCAATTTGTTTATTCTGTACTAAAATTAGCTATTTTTTCCCTGATGAGATGGCTGCATATAAGAAGTCACAACAATAATCACTTTTTCTGTTTTGGGTTTAAAGAAAGAGGACTTACCTTTCCTACAATCATTTGAGTACTTGTGTGCTACCATGTCACGGTGAACTCCAACATGTAAAAAAACCCCAAAACAACCCAATCACAGTGTCCTTTACATTATATAAAGATGGTGGAGGAGAGTTTCCAAAAGCACCAGGAGCACTTGCAATGAATCTGTAATTATACGGACTTGTATTCCCAAATCCCTGAGGCACTTTTGAAAATCTCCCCTGGTGTCTACAATTTTTTATGCAGTGTATCCATTAAAATAGTCTTTAATTACCCACACCAATACTATTTCACAAAGAATACCATATATAGTTTTTCCTATATAGTTTTTAAAAAAGAAAAATTCCATAACCTGGAAATACTTGAGTAGACACCACCTAAATATCCTGTCCCATACAAGAATCCAATTCTGCAACCCTTGTTCATGCTGAGAAGTAAACAATTGAGTATTACTTATTGAGGAGTGCACAACTGGGCCCTCACTGAGGCATGGACTCCTATGAAGCCTATGTTGCTGAACAAACACTGCCTTATAGAAAACTTTATGTGCTGGACACATTTTGAAGTGTGTGTACCACTGTGCGTGGTCTGGCTATGTCTATACTGCAATGAGACACCTAGAGCTGGCCTGTGCCAGCTAACTTGGGCTCGGGCTGTGAGGCTGTTTAATTGCAGTATAAACCTACCCTATGAGGCAAGTTTTCTACATACTCCTGCCCCATTCAAAGTGTGCTATATTGGCAGTAAGTGACGAAGGGCTCCTAACACAATGGAGTCTTGGTGCATACCTGGAGCTCCTAGAAGCTACCGCAATCCAAATAACAACGCACAGCCATAGACTTTAAGGACAGATGGCCTGAGCATGTGGGCAAGACCACCTGGGAAAGAATTCACTGTAGTAACTCAGAACCCTCCTCATCTAGTGTCCCATCTCTGGCTGTAGGAGACATTTTTGAACTAATCAATTAATTCAATCCCCATTTACTCCCTTATCAAAGAGGTATGGCTCCTTACAATGCAGTAAATAAGATGTACTCTTCCACAGACCTGTCTCATTCAATGCACAGATCTTGAATACACTAAAAAAAATTACTACACAGTCAAAATTGTCATGCAGGCACAGCCTGCTATGTCCCCCTTTGAAATACTGGCAAATTGTTGTCAAATATATTGCAATTGTCAAAATCTACTACAGATGAGCAAAGTGCAATTTTCAAAGGCTTACGCTGAGCCAAATCACCCAGCCAATTTGCATCAAAATACCTGCAGCACAGATCAACTGAATAGAGCACTAAAATGGGAGTCAGGAGACCTGGATTCTAATCCTGGCTCTGCCCACTATCCTGATGCAAGACGTTGGGTTGTTGTCTCTCTTCAATTCTGTGCCTCAGTTTTCCCCATCCATAAAATGGGGATAATACTTTCTCCTGTTACGCACTGTGAGATCTACAGAGGAAAAATGGTCTCATGCAATACCCACTGAGTCTTTCCATTGACTTCTGTAGTTTGACCAGTTCCTCTAAGGGTTAAGAGTAGCAGCCGTGTTAGTCTGTATCCGCAAAAAGAACAGGAGTACTTGTGGCACCTTAGAGACTAACAAATTTATTAGAGCATAAGCTTTCGTGGACTACAGCCCACTTCTTCGGATGCATATAGAATGGAACATATATTGAGGAGATATATATACACACATACAGAGAGCATATCCGAAGAAGTGGGCTGTAGTCCACGAAAGCTTATGCTCTAATAAATTTGTTAGTCTCTAAGGTGCCACAAGTACTCCTGTTCTTTCTAAGGGTTAAGTATCATGATAACACTTGAAGACACTTTTCTGTCAAATTTTACCCATTTCTCTGCCAAATTACATACTTATACCTTCCATCTATTTGACAAAATGCTGCAATGAAAGGAAATATTACCCCTCCCTCCTACATAAACTCTTTTAGTTCTCAAAAGCTGCTCAACTGTTCATCCTAAAATTTCAACTCTCGAGAGGGAAGTTCAGCAAAGGTATAAATGACAGAAAAGGTGTTCAAATGGAAACTCTTGGGGAGTGTGTAGACTAGAAAAATAAATAGTGGGTAACATTTTCAAAAGCATTTAATCACGTAGGAGCCTACATCCCATTATTAAAAGTAAGTCTAATTGAAAGTAATGGAATTTAAGCTCCTCAATATGTGCTTTTAAAAATTTTACCCAGGCCTTGGTCTACACCTAAAACTTAGGGCTGGGTTATCTAAAGTTAGGTTGGCTTGGCTTAATTACAATGCACAGAGCTTGCAGGCCTAGGTACCGCCTCTCAGAAAAGTAGATTTCATACAGCCACATAAGAACCCCTTCTATTGCTGTAGTAAGTGCCTATGCTACAGCTGTTTTAGGTGGGAAATGTTTAAACACAGGAGGGGAAGGGAGGGGGCTGCCTACCCTCTCCCCCCCGCCCCCAGCAGCTCTTGCTACAGCCCTAGTTGTGTCTACATTGTGTGACCAAGTTAGGTCAATCTAACCCGCAGTGTAGATACAGCTAGGTCAATCATGCTTGGATGAATTCTTCTGCAGACCTAGTTGCTGCCGCTGGAAGGCTACAGGGATGGCCAGACCCCTTCCCTCGCTCTCACTGCAGCTAGCACTTACGCTACAGCAGCACGGCTTTGCCGCTGGGGCCTAGCCAGCCCCCACTGTGCAACTTCGCACCTCTAGCCGGGTCGGCATCTTTAGAACTGCATTCACCCGCCCCATCCTAGGCCACCCCCTAGACTGGCCAGGCCCCGTTCACACGATGTCAAAGGGGATCAAGCCTGTTTACACGAGGGCTTAAAACGTGGCAGCCGCTAAAACCCTCTTTGCAAACATCTTCCTAGTGGGATCGGGCCCGCGAGCCACCTGCCAGCGGCGCGGGGAAGCGGCTCTGTGCCCCAGGCGCTGAGCGCGGTGCGAACGCCCCGGCGGGGAGGGATGAAGGCGGGGAGGAGGGGGCGCAGCCCGGGGCAGCAGGGGCAGGAAGGCGGGTGAGTGGGGAGCGACGGGGGAGGGGGGGGCTCTGCCGCTAGCTCCGTGTAGCGAGCCGAGGGGGGCCCGGCACTCACGTGGGGGCTGCACATGGCCACGGCCAGGCTGCGGAGCGCCGGCTCCGCCCCCACCCAGAGGAAGAGCGAGTCCCGCAGCCGCATGGCGTGGAAGTGCACGAGCTGCTCGCCCGCGCGCCCGCAGAAATCGTGCAGGGAGATCCCGCCGGGGCGGCCTCCGCCTGCTGCTGCGGCTCCATCCGTCTCGCGCCCGGCCTGGACCCGGCCTGGGCTGCCAGGCCAGACCAAACGATCCCCGAGCGCAGCGCAGGCCTGGCCCGCGTCTCGCTTGCCGCGCCCAGCGGCGATGGGCAGGGGGCTAAACCCGTCCCACCCCCGCTCCAAGGGCTCCTCCCCCCGACTGCCCTGTCCCTCCGGGTTGTTCCC